ACGTTAAATTTATTGGGGGGAGGGGCCCAGGAAAATGTTATCATAGGGGTCTAAGAGTTCTAGTTACGCCACTGGTACGTAGTGTATATAATGTAAACAGTATAAGACCATGATTGTATTTGTATATAAATTTGTAAATTTATGCATTTATTTGTTGATTTAGTATTTGATTGTTTTATGTTATTTACTTGAAATAATTGTTTAAGTAGTGAATTCATTTGTCTTAGTTGTGGCATCCTGTCCAGGGATTGTACTATCCCGAACGTGCAGTCTTTCGGAGGGTAGTAGTGTTGCGAATTTTGCACATAAATAGATGATTTTAGTGCAGTTATATGTTAAATTGTATTTTTCTGCATAATGTAACATGAAAATTTAGAGAGAGGATTCTCTGCCAGAAAGTTAAGAATACAGGGCAAAGTTGATTTAACATTGAGTAAATGGCTGTCTTGCTAATTTGGCGAAATATCGCCAAGCTGGCAACTAATTTTTGTAACCAAATTTGGCAAGAAATCGACAGAAGTCGCTTAATTTAGTGACTGTTTGGTGACATTTTGTTCCAGTCCTTGTATCACCATACTAAGTATTGTAATTGGATAGCCGTAATTAATCATTATATTAGCTCTAACCATATCTGGACCTCATATCCCTTGCAGTAACTTCGAGAAGCAGAAAGTACTAGAAATATCTCAGTGGCCGGGTAAAAACTATATAAGACCGAAGAGACCCAAGTAGCACAGCAACGTCGTAACGACGTTGCAAACTCGTCACGGATGTCGTTGCAAAAACGTTGCTATATGTCATCTTTAAGACGCTCAGATGTCCGTGAAATTCCACTGTCTTTCAACCGTTGCAAAGACGTCCTTATTACGTCTTTGCAGATGAGGTTTTTGTCGCATAGGCGCCGTTATTACGTTTTTCGCAGGTGATATTTTGGTTGTGAAAACATCGTATCACGACGTCCTAAATGTTCGCAAAATTCCACCTTTTTGAAATAGTTGTGAAAATGTCGTTATTATGTTCTTGCGTTACATATTGATTTATGCAGAAAAAATATCTTAATAAGTAATATATTTTTTTCTTTTTTAAAATTTTGTATTCCTTGTATTTATCTAAAGTTTAAATATTTTATCATTTCCTGAAAAACCAGAAGATATACATTTTTTTTCACTTTAGCACTAAATTTGGGCTAAAATAACCTTAAGATTTCAGACGGTAAACTTTTTGTTATATTTTGTTCAACACGCCACAATTTCACGTGGTTTCGTAGAGTAATTTAAGATTCTATTGAAAATAACTACTTTAAATAAAAATGTCAATAGACATAAATAAAACTCATGATGTGTTGTAAAAAAAAAAAAAAACAAAAAAAAAAAAAAAAAAAAAAAAAAAAAAAAAAAAAAAAGGCAAAAAACTGTCACATTTTCTGTTAAATCTCAGAAAACTTGAAAATGAGGGGTCTGAAAATTAGGAAAAATGGTCTTAAGTAACATATCAGTATTTTACAGAGCTCAAGTATAAATTATTCGCGTTTCACAGATAAATAAAAAACCATAAGTCTATTCTCAAAATATGCAATATGAAAGACAGATAAAGTAGTAATAAAGTGATAAATATTTCATAAAAAAAAACCTAATCTATAATTCCATATCAATCTAAAGTAATAACAAACAGACAGCATATTTAAGAAAAAACAGGATTAGTAGGTTTGAAAGATAATAGCGAAGGAAGTAACGAACTAAAATTCCAATTAATAAAAAAATTTGTTTTTTAAATAGAAGCAGTTAAAAGTCAATAATTAGGATTGCAGATTGAATAGTAATGCTGATGTTTTAACACCTTTTTCGATCAATGTAAATGTATTACTATTTTTAGTTTCTAATTTTAGAATAGTGCTAGATACATGATCATTCGGCACTTTTTATCTCAATAATTTCCTGTGATACTGTAATAAATATTTAAATAATATAGTATAGTAGTAATGACATTTAAATGAGATCTTCGTTAAAGAGCACCAGTGAATGTTTTTTTCTACTTATGTTGAACTTCGTTGTTGCAAAGCACAGAAAGGTAGCGAAGAAGTATAGATATGAGATAATTTAATAAAACAATAAAACCGATTTCCAACGTTCATTATTGAGATCATCTAATAAACATACATAACAGCATATTAAAAAAAAAAAAAACGGAATTATACAGTGTTTGGAGGAATAGATACCAAACGAAAAGTAATAAAACGGCAATTTGCAATCATAAAAAATATTGTGTTTCCGTAAACTAGTTTTCGATCATAATTTCAACATGTTTAAAATCATTAAACTTCTTGCATACGTACAAAAATGTATAATATTTTAAGTATTAATTATTTTACAAAATTTTAAACAAGTAAGGAGCACTATTTTTAGACTAATCAAAGTAATAAATCAAAGTATTTATATTAAATTACATTTCATTAGATGAATTTCCTAGATTAATATATTAGATGAAGAAGTAAGGAAACATGCAAAGGAAATCTTAAAAAATGCTGAAACGACCGCCTCTAAAAAGCGGTCATCAGGGACCTTATAAAAAAATGTGTTTTTTTTTTTTTTTTTTTTTCGTAATTTAATTTTTAGCTCAATCAGGCATTTTGCGCTTGTCACTATAAATGTGCGTGTCTCCTTGCAAATTGTTGTTACCAAAGTGTTACCAAAAATATCGCCCTGTATATTTTAAGAAATTAATTAAGGAAGATCTGCATGATACAGATGGTCTCGCACGTGACGAAAGCGACGGTTTCTAAGCGATCAATTTGCATAATTTATCCTCACCCGAACATGGGAATCACGATTTGTTTTCTTATCGATTTCATATTGTGAAAACTTTAAGGTTTTTATTAACAATCAACGATTTAAAGCGAACAATGGCAACACTGTACGGAAAATAACATTTTTCTCCGTGGGAAATCTAAAGGAATCGATTCAAATGTTACGCGCGATGTTTCAAATGTGGCTTACGGGCGAAGAACATGATATTGAATAAATATAGGTAACATACAAAACGTTAAAAAAAGGTTCCTTTTGGGCGTATAAAATCTGAGTGCTCTAGATTTTATTTTTTTTTTCCCCCTTCATTACACTCAGAAAAATTTTATGCCGAATAAATTGCTAAATAAATAATCCACTTTAATGTTAAGAATTTAATGGTCATCTAATCAAATAAATAATTGTCTTGTAATGTTTTTTTGAAAATCACTGCCTGAAAATGTCATAAATTAAAAAAAAAATATCAGATCTTTAATTTCACCTTATTTTTCAAAGCATCAAGTACTATCAATATTATTTAATTTTACTTATTTTTATGTAAAATTAAGTTCAAAAATTTTGTGCTTAGCGTTTTTACCGTTTTATCAAAGTAAAGATGTTTGTACAAGAATTACTCGTGAACAAAATGCGCGAAATGCAGTAAAATGTCCTTTTTAGTGAGATGTATTAAATCCTATTTGAAAAAAAAAAACTGTGACTCTCATAATCTCATTACTATACAATGTATCACATTTAATAATTAAAAACAGTTATCTGATACAAACGCCAGGTTTCAGTGTAAAGTAAACAGATCGTCCCTACTCTTCTTGGGACATGTCGGTTACGCGCGCCCCACCCACTCGGTTATTCTATCTCTATAAGGTCCATAGCGTTATATTATGACGTTTCAGCACGTCCAATTGCCAAGATGCACGCAACTATTTTGCGTCTTCGCAACGTTGTTAAGACGTCGTAAAAGTACCACGACACTTGACGGACAGTGCACATCGGTGTATTGGGGAGATCACTTCCGTTTTGTGTTGAGGTTGTAGTTCTGAATGACTCGGAGTATTGAGAGTTCGCTTTTAAATGCACTTACATTGCATTGCGTTCTTAGTAGTTAAGGTTAAACTATGATTATACTGGTGATATTGTATGTACCTGTTGGCATTTCTGTGGAAAGTTTCAGAACTCTGAAGGCCACCAGCGGGCCGAGCGGTAAAATCGGAACAAGGTAGTTCGGTCGAGGTTCGAATCCTGGCTGCATGGGCGTTTCGTGGTTTCCCCATGGTAAACGTGTATACGAGCCCAGTTTCCTAGCGCCTCCACGAAGGTATCCCTTCCCTTAAACAGATAGCCCTCGAAGCTTTGCCATATTCACACACACAGAACTCTGAAGTGTTTCTTTCATAAAATAAATTTTATTGTCTTATTGTCGAACCCGTGTGCATTCAAACTATTATAACCCTTTACGCACACGGCACACAACATGGGTGAGGGAGGCAGTTTTAGGTTTTGCCCCTCATCAGAAAAATCAGTATGTTGATCAAGAATACAGGCAGCAGTTACCCTTAGTTATTCAGCTCGAGGTAAATTAGTAAATCATATGTATAATTTCTGTGTTTTGCAGTGGTTCAAGCTTGTTAAAAGTGCAAATGCTATTTTATTTTCCTCTTTAAAATGATGCTTTCATAGAAATGATTTTTTTTTTTTTTTTTTTTTTTGTTATGCTTATCATATCCACAAAAAAATCTTCTTAAACTTTTATTATCCATGCTGTTTTCATTTCTTTGTCTTTTTAATTTTTTTTTTCCTTTTTCTTTCTTTATTATTATTAAAACTCACATATTGTCTGTTGATGATGTTTACTTATGTAAAAGTCTGTTTAAGTCTTGTTTGACTTTCTTCTTATGGGCAGTTCTTACCTTGCATTTGATCTTTAATATGTATGATAATACTCAGATAAATTTGAAGAACATGCTTAAAATATGTCTGAGTATAAAATACTCATATTAATTCTGATCTTTTATTTTCTTGCTGGATAAAATTCTAAATAATTTCAAATCCATAGATTATATAGTACAAATTGTTGATTTGTATAACATATTTTTATAAAGGCATAAATAAGAATTTTTTAACATATATCTTTTTCATAATCATTAAATTAAATGTTATGTAAATTTGTTTATGCTTTTAAAAAATGTAATATTAAGTACTTACAATAGCATCTTCCCCATCTATTTCAAATTTTTCATTAAGTTGCCCAATGGGATGAATGAGCTGGAATATGAAATAAATGTGATTAGACGAAGTCCACATAATATATCTTTTATTCATTGTAGAATGAAAAAAATGGGGTAGTAAAAATTAAATAGAATATGGAACTTTTTAAAAATGCTATACATTTACAAAAAGAATATGAGCAATATTCTTTTGAGGCTTGAACTTAGGAAATAAAACCAAGTCATACAGAAAAGTGAAAATAATTAAAACTTTAATTATACTTCATTTGCTTACTAAAAACTTATTTAATAAAATGGTTGAAATGTAGTTTTTTTTTTTTTTTTTTTTTTTTTTTTTTTTGTAATTTTTTAGGATTTTTTATTGTATTGCAACCTGTTAAAAATTTATAATTTAAAAAACTGATATAGATGTAATTATTATAATTCTAAACAATTCAATATTTTTTTTAATTTGGAAAGAACATGCCTTGTTAAGCATATACTTTGTTTAAAAATTAGGCTATGTTTCAGTACGAAAGTATCAGAATTAATTGGTGTAATTATTTTTAAACTAGAACTTTTTTAGAAAGTAATGTTTAAAAACTTTCCCAGACAAATCTTTCATTTTTTCAAATATGTTTCTTTAAATCCTTTTTCCATTACTTTTATGACTGCATTATTGCTGCGTATTATGTACACTTACTGTAGCTGTCAAATTAAAAAATTTTCAATAACATGCTTATTCATTACCTTGTCAAAAATCATGTAATATCTTCATTACAACAGGATATGTAATTGAGAGAGACGTATGGTAATTGAAGCATATGATATTGCCAAAAGTAGTTAAAGTATAATTGGTTACCTTGTTTATTAGAGGGAAAAGCTTCCCTAAATTTTAAAAACGGCTATTATGTATGTATATCTTCACAAATTAAAGGTTTGATGACAAATCAAATCAAATAAACTAAGTGGCTGCTTGAAAAAATTTTGATCTAATTATAATTAGATGTAATCGTACACAAATACCTAAAAATCTCGAAATTTTATTTCTAAATAAGTTTGTTACACTATTTTAATTTATAAAAGTTACACTGTTGCAGATTTTGTAATATGAATACATTAGTTTCAAATGCTTGCTTTTCTGTGTTCAGCAAGATAAGAATAAAATGAAATATTCTTTCACCAATTTAAGACAAGCTTTAGAAATGAAATGCAACTAAACATTCTCTAGAAGATTATTTGTTTGATTCATATATATCTTAATATATAAGTTAACTAAAAAAAGGATACTTTTTGACTGTCCAGATTCTGTGGTTTGAACATTTGGTTGAATTACCATGTTTTTGGCACATTTTCGATTATACACCCAATAACAGACAACTCATGCATGTTCATAATGCAGACAACCCAAGGATGCAAGAATTCATTATTTTGGAGTGCCATTGTTGGTAGTACCAACTAGTAACATAGACATGTTTGAATACGCTTGGATTTATCAGTATCATTGTAAAAATGTGAATATCTGCCATAGAGATTTGTGTTTTTGCTCAAAGGATTTTGTTTGCTATAAAGGGCTTTTTATTATAATTTGCGAATAAAACAGTACCTGTGAACCATAAAAATAACCGAACAAACATTTTTCACCGATTCACAAAGTCATGAATATGTTGGCAACTTTTCAGGAGGTGTGTATAATCAGAAAGGACCAAAACAGTCTAAAGATAGTAAATACATAGTATGAAAACATTTTGTTTAGAATTATACAAAAATTTAATAATGTAATTTGTTTTGCATCTGTATATACGAGTACAAAACTAGCAATAAGGCAATTTGTGGTGGAAGAAAAGTACCTTCCAGTTCAGTCCTTCAATCTACAATCGGTGATCAAATGAAAAGGTACGAAACGACGTAAAAACGTAACAGTTAAGTATTTGCATATTCCGCCATGGGAGAGCGTAGCGAGACATCTCGGGATGCGATGGCTCTCGATTGGGTCGAGCTGCACGGGCGCCCGCAGCGCAGGAGAACAGAGGATCTTATCAAAAGCGGCGTCCAAATGATTCGGCGTCGTATTGAGGCAGATGGAGTTCGCGTTGCAAAAATCGACGGCTGAGGAGCGGCGAGGTGTATCATTTGAAGCGGAGGTCAGAAACCGGCAGCTGTTCATCGCCGGTGGGACAGTTTACAGGGAGAGAGTGTCTCTACACGCTGTCAGAAAATGGAGTTGCCCGTTTTCGTGTAGGCCGTGAGAGTGTGGGGATGACCCGAGACCAGGCCAGGCAAACACTGTCTTCCGAGCGATCTCACGACAAGTTGACGACCTAGGAGAAGTGATCGGGTGTCACATTGTAATGTCAGATAGGGAAAGTGTGGACAATGTCACGACAGGTGCGATATCGGAAGTGTGTGCCCGCTTGGGTCCGAAGCAGTCACCGCCCAGCAAAGGAATGGGTATGGGGTTAGCACTGCAACATGTTTCGGTATCGGAAGACCCTTTAATGGAGCGTTGTCAAGGTGATGAAACCTGGTGCCATCACTACTAGCCAGGGACAAAGCGGGACAGCATGCAGTTGAAGCATACGTCGTCACCTCCCCCTAAAACGTTCAAAGCCGTGCCGTCAGCAGGCAAGGTGTTGGTCACCGTCTTCTTCGACGTTGAAGGCCCGCTACTTGTGAAATTTCTCGAGCACAGAAAAACCATTAGCTCCGATGCGTACTGTGAGATGCTCCGACGCCTACGCAGGTCCATCAAGAACAAAAGACCGGGGCTGCTCACGGAGGGTGTGGTTCTGCTCCATGTTACGCGCGTCCACACGTCTCCAGAGTCACACACATGGAACTGGCCAAGTTCAAGGGGAGACGTTGGACCATCCACCCTACAGTCCGGACATGTCGCCCTGCGATTTTCATGTGTTTGGTCCACTGAAGAAACACCTGAAAGGGAAGCGCTTCAACTCGGATGACGAACTCAAGGACGCTGTGAAGGACTGGGTCCCGTCACGGCCACAGGAATTCTGGGAACTAGGAATCTTGCGGATTGTTCATCAGTGGGATCGTTTTGCTCAGGCCTATGGTGTATAATTTGAATAAAGTCTACATTTGTACCCAGCTTGTCGTTTCGTACCTTTTCATTTGATCACCCCTTGTATATATACTGAAAGAGGTGGCTGAATGATAGTTTTATTATATTTTGGAGAGTAACTTTTTCCTTTCATAATTCGTGCTTTATCGTTGGTATATTTTTTAGCAGTCTGTACTTTATTAACTATTCTAAACATCACTGCACAATAATGAATAATATGTTTTTGTTGCTATAAATTCATTTTAAATTTCACTATTGCATTCACTTTATAATATGATAAAGGTCCAGCATCTTGAAATTTATACATTTGATTAATTCCCCATATTCGGATAATGGTGACGGTTATAAACTTTTGTTTAGGGTTTAGATACTCATAACTATTACAAATCTGCTGTTTAGGTTAATGAAAAAGTATTTTCAAAAAGTAATTTTAAAAATTATATGCATGAAACACTGACAGTAGAAAAATATAACTTTTTAAATTTAGAAACGGGAGTTTTCTCATAAATATATTTAAACTAAAAAATTCTACATGTATTAAGATAGAAAGAAGAAAAACTTTTAGTACCTTATCCTTTATAATTCTATCCATTTCTATAGCCATTTGTTCTCGTATCTTTCTCAGCCTTGATTGAATATGTGGTGGTATAATTTTATAAGTGTCATCTTTACTCTGAAGAATATAAATATATATAATGCATTTACTGAATACAACAAATTAGATGAATTCAAAATAAATTTTCATTTAAAATTTAATACTTATAGATATGATTTGTGTGATTTCAGTTGTAATTACGGTCCTGTTTGTGAAAATGGAATATTGAAGGAATCACCAAAAACTAAATGAAATTTATTCCAAATATAATCCATAGTTATTATAATGAAGCAACTTAATTTGCAGGGCAATACAAGAGTATTAAATGCCAAACATCAAAATGTCACGAATCCACCTTGCACTGCAGAATAAGAACTTGTATTTATTGTGACATTGAATCAAATAGCTTTTGATTGTATACTTGAGAATATTATTCCATATTGCTTTTTTCCAAGTCCAAAGTAATCCATGTTGGTGGTGAGACAAGTGTCGTGAGTCAGTTGCCTGTCCATAATTCTAGATGTTTGCAATATACGTCATTTCTGGCGAATGTGCAGGCCAAGGAAGAAAAAGCTTGAATATTTCTATTATAGTTCACCATAAAACAAAAATCTCTTGCCAAAATTTGTGTTAATAAATCCACTAGCTACATGGGTGAATGTTTGTGTCAGGTATCCTGTCAAAAGAACGCGTGCATGCAGTTCACATGCTGGTGTATCGTTGAAGCAGTACTTTGATGTTACATGGTGGCAATGTTTGAATTAAGCTACATCACTGCCATGCATCGAAATTTTGTGGTTCATTATCAGTGTGTTTGTGACTTGTCTAGTTCTCTTGAGCCCACTGCTTCCACATTTGCATTACTGCTGATGCATTAAGCCTTATCAGTGATGTGAATGTGAAAGCACTAGGAAATCCAGCTGTAAAAAAACAGTGTAAATGGGAATTGTGATTTCATGATAGGGAAATCCTGACAGGCTGTTAATTTTGCTCCCTTTCAGAAGGGTGTAACTAGCTTATATCAGGATGAGGCATATAACTTCTAATGAAGCATTTATCTCAAGCAGACAACAAAATGTTACAACAGCTAATATGAGTGTTTTCAGGGAATTGCTCAACTTTGAAGTTCTAATATATGCATATATAATACTCCATTTTACATTTCCTATCAGTTTCAGTTTATTCACATGATGCCTTCGTAGTGTTGCAATCTTCACAAACGGGATTGTAGTAAATGTTAGAAAATTTTCACCAATTTTCAATTTCATAAATAGTTCATCCTTAATAATTAATAAGAATTTTTTTAAAATAATGATTATTGTTTGAAAATGAATTTTCAATCTGGGAAAAATAAAATGTCAGTTATAAGTATGAGAATTAAATGGTATAAGACCATTAAATAAATAAGCAATGAATCCAATATATTAATTTATTTTACTTTTTTTTATTGTAAAGTAATTTTTAAGAAACTTACACTTCCATATGTGCTTTTATGCCTTCTTTGTAGTTTTTCACCATTTTGCCCATTTGAATTTATATGCTAAATACAAATGTCAGAAAAGATAATTATTATGATTATAGATAATTATTATAATTATATGAAATAGATAATTATTATAATTATATGAAATTTAATATTTACTTCATTAAAGTTTTAATTTCAGAAAACATTAAACCAATACTCAAAGTATGCTATTCATTGCAAATTTAATCAATACAAAATATTTTAGCTAGTAGAAAAGGTATATTATTATTCGCCTTTTTTAAAAATTTATTTCACCATTATTTGTTTTACAATTTGACATCAAACATTTCTTTATGTATTTTACAGAAATTCAAAATTAATTTATTCATATCATGCCTGCCAATAAGAAAAGTAACAACGTAGATTTTTGCAAAAGTAACTCAATGCTATCTAAATTGAAATCTTTCACTAAATTGCAAATACTGCATTTAAGCTAAATCTTAAACTATCTTTATTTTGACACATTTGGGAAAATTCCGATATAACTTTCAATAGTTTAAGTACTATTAAAATGGTTTAATTCATATTAGTATAAACTTGTATTTGTCTATTCTCAGTTTCTCATTCTTCCTCTATATTATATGATACAATGCTATATCATGGACAAATAAACTATCTTAACAGGATAAGGAGATCTTTTCTTAAACAGGATAAGTATTGATATATTTCATGTGTTGGAAACAAATTTTATGAGTGAGAATTAAACACCATTACAAATTTAATATTTTAACTAGGAATTTCATTACCAAGAATTTTCTTAATTCAGTTTTCTGTCCTCTTCCTCTCTTTTGTATATGTTTTTTTTTAAATAATGAATTAGCATATACAGTGCATTTACGAAGTCTTAGGAAAATTTTTTTAAATTAATTTCAGCAAACTTTACAAAAAATAATTGACAGCATTTATTACTGTAATATCTCAACTTACATGTAAAATTTCATCTGCTCATGGATAGAATGCAAATTTTCTAAGCACTTAATTGTTTATTTTGATTCAGTGAGCATCTGTTGGCGTGGATTCAAAAGCTGAAAAATGATTCGATCAAAATGGCAGATATTAATCCTAATTTTTTCAAATAAAATGTTACCGGACAGATCCAGAAATAAAATGACAATCTAGAGAAATTTCACCATAGTCATAGAAATCTGAACTAAAGATTATGTTTTTTTTTTCAATAAATTCCATAATCTCTAAAAACATAATGTATTGATTGATGTTTTTAGCCATTCCCCATTTAAATGCTATATCAGCAATAAGCTCTTGTCTGGTTTGAAAATTAGAAATTTTGTATGAAGCAAAGTGGAATGTTTATATGATACTGAAATCTATATTTTATATAATTTTTTATTTGGTAAAAATGGTTTAAATCATTGAATTCTGACAGGTTTTTATTATTCTTATTTTATTTTTTATTTTGTTTTTGCCAATTATAGAATAATGGGTTCCCCCTGTAGAAGGAGGAATGAGAAAGAACTTATGAATTAGAATTTCCTTAATGAAAGGTCCATATAAAAGTTTTAAATTCATATAATTTGTTGTTGTTGTCACATGACTAAATTATAGTAAACTGCCGGAATATCTTACTTGAGTCATATTTTGTGTATATACGAGTAAACTGTGGGTTCTGTGGTCAGCTGTTTAGTAGATGTTTATCTGAGCAAACTTTTTTAAACACTTTTTATATTATATTGGTTATGCATACATAACAAATAAAATATGCTTTTTGTTAGCTATCCTTCAAATTTTGTTCATTAAAATAGATTTCATAGGTGAATTTTTATTATTATAACTCTATCGGATGAGTAAAAAAATTTGAATTCAAGGTACTGCGAGATTTTTATGAAAGTTAGGTTTACTGTCTGTCTCAGGTAAACCTGAATTCGAATTCATTTCGTTGTTTCACTTCCTCTGTACTGTAAAAAAATTAATGAGTTAAATGCTTTTTTTTTCGGGAGGAGCAAAAGCGTATAGTATCCGAGTTCTCAAAGAACTGGCCGCATAGATACGATCGGTATTTATCATGCTTACTAAATCTGATGATATTATTCTTTCATTAATATTAATTTTTTGTCATATATGTCTGTTTTGCCACAATATGCAATTTCTTTAACTAAATGTTAAAACTATTGTTATCAAATATTTGCAAATATACTTTTACTGCTTCTTTCTGTATAACTTGATCCACCTCTTTTGTTACTTTCTTACTTATTTCTTTCAGCTTGGCTATAATATGAGGTGCTATTTTTTTGACTAGATCTTCTTTGCTCTGGGAAAAAAAAATGTATAAATCATGTTTAAAGACAAAACTTCCATCACTAATAAAAGAAAGTTGTCTGGAAAAAGTTTCCATTTTAGTATTTTAAATAATCTAAATTGTATAAAGAACAATTTTGTTCCTTTATAGTGTACAAAAATACTAAGCATTGTATAATCTTTATTATTATTATTATTATTATGACAAAATGGCGAAAGAAATTGGTCTGACGAAGTAAGAGTCCGAAATAAAAGTTTTGTTTGATTACCAAGTATGGTAATCAAAACATACTCAAATAAAAGTATGACAGAGAAAACCTCAAATGTTTAACAAATGAAAAATCATATTATAAGCCATTGAATAGATAAGAAATAAAAAATGCACCATACGTTTGGGAGTTAAAAGCTAAACCGAGTTCGAAACCAAGATGAATTCGAAACTGAGATGTGAGGTTTGAGTTTTTGACATGGCCATATTATTAAATTAATATATATTAAAGGAAAATTTGTTGCAAAATACAGGAAACAATTTTTCACTTTTTAAATTTCTATAAATTTGATTTTAAATTGAATATTTCGTAATCATTTAATGGTAAAACGTGCTAATTTATGTTAAATGATATTTTTGTACAATGTATGTTTAATCATTTTTCAGTATATTAAAATTACGTATTATTTCTTTTATTATCCTTTAATTTTTACAATTGGATTGTAGTAGCTACATTGGAGTTATTTTATTGCTTTGGAATTAGATTTTAATTGCTTATTTGAGGTATTTTAATTCTTATCCTGTGGTATGTTGTGACCTGAAATCTATCAAATTATTTAAAAGCGTGATTTTAATTTGGCTCACTGATCCTTTTTATGATTTACTTTCATTTAACTTGATGAGTCCGCTTGATGAGGTTTGACGAGTCCGCTTGATGAGGTTTGACGAGTCCGCTTTTCGTTCGGAATCATTCTTTGCGAGTAAGTAAATTAGCATGTAACAGATTACTTATTTGAGGTTTTAGGCATATGACTAAGTTTTTAGAAGGTTTCAAACAGGAAAAATAAGTGACGAAAGGAAAAGTACATTTGAGACATAGTAAAAACAATGGTTTGAAGATTTAACATGATTTAACATCTTTTTTTAATTAAGTTGTTTAGGTTGAATATTTGTTCAGCTTAATCTGAGATTCAAAAAGTGAGTAATGCAGTCTAAATAGTAGAAATCTTATGCTTTTTATATTGCTTTAACGATAGCATAAAGAACTAGATTGGAATGTTTGGAAAGACTGAAATAAATGTGCGTGTCAAATTTTATTCGGAGGATGTTTCTTTGGAAAAAAATCAAGATCGGCAACAATATTTGATGTGAATTATAAAATGTTGTATATAATACAATTATAATATGTTGTACACAATGCGTAAAGGCTAACACTACATAAATTTAAGAGTTAAGGTGGAAAATCTGTAGTTCATCAAACTGCTTTTCATCATTTTAAGATATTTTAAAGGGATAAAAGATTTCCTATCCCAGTATCAGATGAAATAGGTTAAAAAACAAATAAATAATGAAAATTTTTTTAACACCGTGTCTTGCTCTTTAAAAAAAGTAAGTTTTTTTCGTCATGTAGATCATTACTAGATCATGTAGATCATGTTTTCATCATTACTAGAAATAAAATGTAAATTGAAAACGTCTAAGCATGAAGCCAAAAAATAGTCTATGTCAGTGGTTTTCAAACTATGGCCCCAAATGGAGTCGCAAAAATTTATAGTGAAGTCTGAAGGTAAATAAAAATGCTAAAAAATCTGAATTGTCGGTGTTTAAAAGTAAAGATCGGTGCTCTGATTGTGGTCGCACTAATAAGGTTTGAATACCAGTGATCTATGTTAATGCCATCCATCATGTCAAAAGCAACTAAAAGCTGTACACAAACTTTAAATAATTTGCGGATTTGATAACAAGAGGCTCAGTGCATTTCCGAGAAAATGGAGCAGGTTCATCATTTTCAAGGATGAAGTTTTTATCACAGAATATATGATAAAGAATCCTTTTCCGTATACGTAAGGTCATTTATGAAATTTTTTTAGATAGATAAAGCAGTTGTACAAGAATTTTGCAAAAAAAATAAAGCCGTATTAATTTTATCATTTAATATTTATCAAGAACTCTGGTTAAAATACTATGCCACGATAATAAGAAAATATAGTAATAGTTTTACTTGCAGGTGACATAAAATAGGAAATTATTGTGATCAATGTGCAACATTGATATCAACAATGCAGCATTGTTTACAAGCATAAGAATCATTACTGTAATATGAATATAGTATTTATGAATTCATGACAATAAGCATCTTAGCCTAAAAAAATCGTCTATAGTTTTTTTTTTTTGGGGGGGGGCTGCTGCTGTTATTGGTTAGGAGTAGGGAAAGATTTACAAGTTGTCAAGTTTTTTAAAAAATATTATAATTTTACTTTTCTTTAAAAACTTCGTAATTTATGAGCCCAACTCTTATCATTTTTGGAACAATAAAATATAATTATCTAAATTTGACGCTAATGTTAACATAAAATTTAAAAAACAATCTTGGAAAAAAAAAAGGGGGGTTCCTCATATTTTGCAGACTTATTTGTTATTTGCCAGTGTAAAGATTATTGCCAAAACCTTCAGATAATTACAATTCCCTGCCCAAAACGGTTTCTGCTTAGAAAATAATATATATCAACCAAAATATCAATCTTATATAACTAAGATGTTTTTTAAATACAAAATATAAATTTTAATTGAATTTTGGAGTAGTATCTATAATTGTATCAATGAAAATAAGGGCGTAAGCAGTGATAAAGAAATTACAGAATTCCTGATCACTGATTACTTGTGAAATGATCAAAATTTTATTATTATGTAACTATTAGACAAAACATTTTGTCAATTGGGTGAAATGAATTTTTTTGGTACTATCCATATAGAAATATGTTGAAGTACAAGCTGAGTACGTGATATTTTTCATAAATAGTTGTTCTTCCTGAAGTGAATGTAGTAAAAAAATGTGTTAAATAAGAATTTTATTAATAAAAAAACACCTTACAAGTTTTTAATTATTGTTGTTTTTTATTTGTCATCTAACTGATTTAAACTCTAAATCTTTGATTATACATCATTATAACAGTATATTTGAGCTGTATCCTATCACGTACTTTAAAGAAAAAGTGCTTAAAAATTGTTCATTGTGGAAAAAAAAAAAAAAAAAAAAACTTGTAACCGATTCAAAAATAAAAACATTAAGACTCACAGTTTCTTGCTTTTCTGTCTTCTCATCACTTAATCCAAAAGAGTTTTTCTGCTGCAATGTGAACCAAAAATTAATTCAGCAGGTTTTATGGTAAATAAAATATGGCTAGTGTAAGCGTACTGAGTAAGAAAATTGTAAATATAGCAGATGGAATTATGAAATTTGCTTAAATAATTAAATTATCTCTCTACAAATTAATGACATATTGTTGCACTAATTATTCTAATGTAAAAATTAAATATCTTTTCCCGTTTTCACAGTGTTTAACAATTGAAAATGTAACCTTTTAAATATACTTGTATAGTTTTTATTAAGGTAAAAGATACGATATTAATCATTTATTTAAAAATATTAGGAATTAATATGACATTTTATATTTATATGGTTTCAAAAGAATACATTTATTATATATTCATAGATTTTGATGCTTGCACTTGATTTACATATGCTCTCAGAATTTAAATGATATTGTAGATTAGTTCGCAGTAATAATTAATCATTTATTTGTAATTCGATTTCATTTAAAACTTAATTAACTTTAAATTTACTTTTACGAGTAGAGAATGTTTCTTAAATGTATACTTATATGGCTTATAGCAAACAGTTTGTAATTTAAAATCATGGAAATTATTTTTTTAATCTCCTGTTTAAAACAAGATTTCTATTATTATATTATATAATAGTATATAATTAAGATAGGAATCAAATCATGCAAATTTTGTGCACTTGGAAAAGTAAGCGCAAAATGGGTACGAATTACAGGTCGTATAATATCAATAGTGTTGTTCCGGGATTGGGTACAACATGAGGGATTGTTTGTGCAAAAAAGAGATATTCAGAAAAAATATGGTTATGTTATTTGAATATGGCAAAGTAAATGAATGGCTATGTGGCTAATGCAAGGGATGCTGCGGGGAGGAGTTTGTAAGGGGAAAATGGATTCTATTTCATGTGCACATGGGGAAAACCAGACAGGCATCCAAACTATTTGCCTCAGTTCGAACTCAGATCTAGCTACCAATATTCAATAGTCTTAATCACTTAGACAATAGCGTAAAGTGACCACATTTTCATTGAGACAAAGGGGGACAAATGGAATGAAATGAGAATTATAATTTAGTTATCAAAGCAGACCAATAATTCAAAAAAATATATTTTATTATACATTCATATACTTGTCTATAAATATACAAAAATATTTATTATTAACTTGGTAACTATAAAATATTTTTTAAAAAACAATAATTTGAATATTATGTTTTTAATTATTTAATATTTTATTTAAAAAAATTATAATTCTCTTTCACGGTTATATTTTTTATCCGAGTGAATACTTTGCAATAAATTCGGATCATTTATTAAAAGGTCGTGAAATTTCTCACGTGAATTGTTCAAATTATTAATTAATCTGCTTAATACAGATTTTAAAGTTTTAATGTTCAACTGCGTTTATTTCAATCGTCCATATTTTATTGATACTAAAAAAAAAAAAAAAAAAACACGTTCTGTTGCTGCATTTGTTCCTGGAAGGGAGAGCGTGTGCTCTACAATTTTCAAAATATTTCCATACGGAATATTATTCTGTTTAAAATGAAGGAATAACTCCGTCCATTTTTTGTCTGTTTCCACATTTGCAGACAACCAACATTTAATTTTTTCATTACTAACGTATCTTTTTACCAACGATACCTCATCAAAAAGATCATTTTCGTAAATATTATTTTCCGGGAAATAGTTACTAATATATTAAGATTTTTCCACATATACCAATAAAATCTCCTTTTTAAAATGTCACCCAATAAAAGTTTTTAATATCCTCAAATTGAACTGTCCGTTCTTCAAGATATTTCAAGCAGTTATTATAAAAATTTCTGACTTCTTTCAGAAAATCAGGTCGTGTAATATGGCACCTTGTTCTTCCAACCTAATGATGTTTTCTCGAATAACTAAAGGAAAGTAATCGTTATCAATTCTTTCTCGCAGTTTTGTTTTTAAATTGTTGATTTCATTTAAAACTTCCGTAATTGAAATTTTCTTCAATAATTTTCACAGCATTATGAAATAATGTAGCTTGGTTGTAGATGAACTGACAAATTTGTGATGTGTCATTTTCAAAGAACAGCTGCAATATTCTTGAACATTTATCTTGTGATAAAAAGTATGGTTTTAATGGTTCCTATATTTTAATATTTTCTACAGCTGGTAAAAGAGCTAGCCATCGTGTTTTGCTGTAACCAATAATTCTTTTATATTCGATTTCTGCGTTTTCACAAAAATCCTTCAAACTTTTGACACTCACAGTATATATATAAAAATACGAATAAATTTTTGAAATAATATTTTCAACATCCACTGGAAGTTAAGTCAGATGCTATTTGTATAGTATTGTGTAGAATGTGCGCTGCACAACCTACTCGAATAATTTTTTGGTTCAGACGTTAATTAAGTTTCGTAAAAACATAATTGATGCCTCTTCTAGCTTTTCCACCAAAATTGGCTTTACTGTTCAAATTATTCTTTCTTTAAAATAATACTTATTGAATCAAAAATTATTTATGAAGTTTCACCCGGCAGCCGCCCAGACGGTATGATGGTTAAGGGAGCCTGACTGCGATACCGAAGGGCCTGGATTCGAATCCCTGAGAAGGCATGGTTGTAATTGTCCGTCCCTTCATAGGAGGCAATGATGGCCCACCTATTAGGTGCCTCCATAATAATAAAAACACCATGTCTGGCCTTAGTATAGATTAATGGACTCAGTTACAAAACTGCAACTGTTCACAATCTGCCATTGGGAAGAAAAGTTTCACCCGGGAATGAAACAAAATCTGATATTCTAATTTTAATTCCTATTTCTCGATTAAAAAGTCTAACAATTGTGGAAAATAATTTTAAATCTTTGTGGGTTGGAAGCATCATAATATATTGATATAAATATGCATTTAAAATCTAATTCTTTCTGCAATTGTGAAAACGAATATGGTTAAAAAACATTACAAATAATTGCTTCGGTTTTGTCCTTGCACGTGCAAAGTTTTTGTCGTATAATGTCTTGAACATTTGCGACGTACAAGCAATAGATCTGAAACTTTGATTGTGGTTTATGGTGTAGAAATAGCCCTTCAGCTAATGCTAGCTCTTCCTCTGTTAACAATACATATTCCTTGACGAGACGTAACGACAATGATCGAAAACCACCGACTAAATCTAACTCATTACATTGCCTATTTAGTTTACTCTGCATGTATTTTATGTGTTTTTTTTTTATTTCTTTATTCACTATAGTAATTAATAAATAATAGGCAATATATTTTTACAGTACATTTAAAATAAGAAATGCAGATGTTTTCTAAAAAGCGGAACATTTTTAAAAATCGGCGGGAAGCGGGACTGTCCCGCCAAATTCGGGACGTGTGGTCACTTTACACTAGTGGAGCTCATAAATATAAATACTTTAATATCAGCATCAAAAATACATTTTAATCCTTCAGTAAGAAACTATTTTATATTAATTTTATGAACAAAGATTTTGATATATCAACACAGTCTGTATATAATATGTAGTTTATACGTGTCGTTATTAATACTATTTTTACTTCTTTGTATGAAGTAAAAAGAAAGTATTGTAATCGCGAAAAGTTTCAGGCAGCATATTTCAACGAAAATATCCATTTTGACCGCTATCGAATGCAATTTAACGATGTTTTTGCGTGATATCTGTAGGTAAGGACAGAATAAAATACTCTTTTCCTTCAAAAAAATTATAAAACTGCTTTAAAATTAATTCCGAAGAGAATTTTTCGTGGCGTCTGTACGAACGTATGTACGTACGTATCTCGCATAACTCAAAAACGAGTAGCTTCAGAACGTTGAAATTTTGTATGTAGGACTGCTATAACATGTAGATGTGCACCTCTTATTTTGGTTGCAATCGGCCGCACCAAACGTATATAAATATACTATTTATATATATATCCACTCTGTGATCTCAGTTTCTTTATGTTTGTAAATTGTACATTTGCTTTAAAAATGGTTGAATTATGTTGTTTTTATCTTCCGGTTAAGGATTTTATGCCTTTAGTAAATCTGTGTGCAATATTTTTAGAATTATCAGCAATTTTAAGGTTGTTCAATTGCCGCTAAGCCTGTTTTAATGGCGGCCATTGATGTTTACATTTGAAACAGGAGACTAGTGAATTTGTTGCCAATCTAGAGAAACTTAGCTTCGCAGCAACAAAGATAACGCATTCATTTAATTATTGCCAATTAAATCATGCTTAATTCTTTCTGGAATTTTTTCGAGGAAATAAATGTTTGAGATTTACTGCGTAATTTTTAATATAGATATTTTGAGTTTTTTATGTATTTTTGCCTTCTCGCGAAGTGAGAACTGAATTAAATAAATGAGAAATACTCAATCGTCTGTGAAAAAAATTTTTTTTTTTTTTTTTTTTTTTTGCTTAATTTCTTTTATACATCATTCTAGCTTTATTATAGTATTTGAATAGAACATGTGGCAACGATTAGATAATTCTATTCTTTAAATGATATAAATTTTGTGCATTATGAGTTATAATATGAACGAAATATATACGTTAACTGTTATATAAGTATTGTATTATATAACAGTTAACTTAGTTTCCGTTATATAATTATTATATAAGTTAACTGTTATATAATTATTAATACTGTTAAGTGAATCTAGCGCCAGAGTGTCGCTATGGTAAACAAATACTAAAGTAAATTTTAAAGAATGCATTTATTCTATTGTGGTTTAGCGCTGTCGGCGAAGTAGATTTAATTCAATCCAATAAGTTTAAATGAAATGCAAGAAAAAATGCGTATAATTTAATATTCCAATACAAGGAAGTCATGTGGTGTACACATCAGATTTTTTACATGCGAAATAATTATCTTGATTTATTGAAGCCCGCATAAGTTATTTTTGATTTAAAATCTACTTTTCTTTCCATTTTGGTAAATATGCAGAGTGCTCAGAAAAGACTGCCAGGTAAAATAGTTCTTGAATAGTTGATAGTAGATTCCATTTT